GGGGGTGGGTTAATTATTTTATAGTAGAATTAAATATTAATAATAAATTAATTTAATAAGTATTATTTCATAATTAAAATTATAAAGAAACCTAATTTTTGAAATTTAAAACAAGTTTTGGTAGTTTTGAAATGTGTAAAAGAAAAAGGCTGATTTATGTATTCTTCCCATTATTTTATTAGAATCAATAAAGTTATAGAGCCCAAGGCCCCAGGCCCAATCAAAGACTTTTTAATATAGTGCGTAAGGCGTGACTCGAACACCTGACCTCCCACACAAATTCCACACTTTTCACCAGTTGGGCACTACATCTTAATCAATTATTTCTTTCACATATTATATTTATTGTATAAATATATAACATCTCATTTGATCAATTAATAAAATGTATATGTGTGTTTTTGGAAATTTAGATGTACTGTACGAATTCAAATCTTGCATTCAATTCTTATATCTTAGAATTAATACAATTTATGCAACTAATGTGTTTACAAAATTGAGAATGTGGAAAAGTGATATCTCTGAAAAAAGTCGTAGTATCTCACGAGAGCAATTAACTAAATGCGCATGTGTGCGTTTTTAAAAAATTTAAATATGCGGATTCAAAATTTATTTTAATCTTGCATTCAATTCATATTTTTTTGAATCAATTCAATTGATGCATCTAATGTGTGTGCAAAAATGAGAACGCGAAAAAGTTTTTATTTATTTATTAATGTTATGGCATTACTTATTTTGGCTCTTATAACTTAACGTTTTTTACTGTGCCGATGGTAAGTAAACACCTTGACCAATTTGATATTTCACCGTGTAGAGTTCAATTTTGCCCAATATACACTGGAACACTTGATGGAACCATGTAAACATTTAGGGCGTGATATTATGTCCTTGATGGAACCATGTAACTCGAAGGGCTTTAACAGCCTAGCTGCAGTACATAAACTGAATTCCATCTTCAGAAACGGGTGAAAGTTTTAAATTTTATTTCATTTCATGAATAAGATATTTTATATTTCCTCATCTTTGGCTAAATTATCATCTCTCATGGAGTTTAAAAGTCCATCCACTTCCTGAACCAACACTAATATAGGATTTGAGCAAGCCATGATACATCTGCCTATTTAATGGCATAACTGATCTCAACAAATGTATAATCTTTTCAGTGTCCTCGTAGCTACATTTCTTGCCCACCAAACTTAGTATCTTGTAATAACTTTGGGATCGAAATTACGCTCTTTGCTCCCGTCAGGCAAAGAGCAACATTCATGGATCTCAAAGCATTTTCTTAAATGAGTTTCATACAATGAAAAAGTGATAGTAGAAATCTGCATAGTTATAACAATAATAAGATGATGAGCAGATGAATATCGAACAAGTTTCCCAATTATTCTAGAGAGAGAGATTAAATAGAGAAGAAAGTATAAAATAAGGGTATTAGGGTTTAATTTTAAAATTGATGAAAATATGACGTATTTTATACTTTGTAATCACTTTTAAAATGATTTTTCAAAACACCCTTATATTTAGGGTATGGTAATTAGCACATAACGTCCCCACCTTTCATTGTTATTGTGGAAAACGTTCATATATTTTTTGACATTTTCACCTTTAATTGCTCAAAAGATCATTTACACATATTTTCTCAACTATATATTATGAAATGACGAATATACCCCTCTATTTAAATAAAACAAAAACAAAAAGAAAAAAATAATTGCAACCACAGTTCCAAATTTTTAAAAAAGAGCAAATAAGTCACAAATAAATTAGGGAAATTTGCAGCCACTGTACCAAACCTTTCAACTTTTTGCAGACTTTGCCCAAACTTTTGATTTGTATCATCACGGTACCAAACCTTTAAACAATTCACAGATCAAGTCCGAATGGATGGAAACCGTTAATTTGACTATTAATTGACTCTCAAAAATTATTTTGACCAAATCAACAAATGACAAAATGGTAACTTCATAATTTTAACATAAAAAGGGAAAATAAAACCCTATTATTTTCTCCAACCACCCCACCTCACCCCCACCCAACCCAAAACCAAAACTGCCGGCACCACCACCGCCGCCTCCTCCTGATTTGGATTGTGTTTTGTTTTAGAGTTTTGCCACCCTATAAAGAGAGACTGTGTACTCTGCTACTATTGTTGGAGCTTTTGGGCGGGAATCTTTTGGGGTTAGCTACATGTTTGTCTCTACATTTCTTTAATTTTCTTTCTCTATCATAATTCAAAAAAAGAGCTTGTTTTCTTTGAATTTCATGGGTTTTTCATAAAAAACTGGGCATTTTCTTCTTCGTTTATTCTGGATTTCTTTAGAATACCTATTTCTTGGGTCTTATTTTTTGGGTTTTTTCATTACAATTCAGTTTCTCTACCATGCTCTCAAGGATTGTAGACCTTGGGTTCACCATTGGCGGCCCCTTTCCGCGAAAGTGATGAGTCTATCCCAATTCTCACCTTCAAATAGAACCCCAACCTTGCCATCAGTAATTCTTTGGACAATACCACAGTACATATAAAAGGGGTTACTAGGGTTCTTGACAATGGCTATCATTCTAGGTAATAACAATGGCAATTCAGGTACTTTTGGCTTCTTTACAGAGCTTGGAGTAAACTCAGCAATGGCTGATTCTCCCTTCTTAAGTGGTGGATTTTGTTCAATAAACTTCACGAGTCCCTTCTCGCCGCCTAGAAATCCACTAGTTAAGCCTTGTAACTCCTTTTTAAATCCATCTTCTGATGATGGCGGTGGTGGCTTTTCTTGCTCTTAAGGGGTGTTCATTGGCGGCGCCGCCTCCTCTGGGTTGGCGGGAGATTTTTTCAGTTCTTTCTCGAGGCCTTCTTCTCCATTGCAGAGGCCTCTACCTCCCAATATCTCATAGAGGTTGAATTTTGCTATGGGAGTAGATTTGAAAGATGAGGGTTGTTTTGGAATTATGAAGACTGATTTATAAATGAGCCATTTTGGCGATGGCGGTCGTGGAGGTGGGAGAAGGAGGTGGTGGTGCCGTCAGTGTTGGTTTTAGGTTGGGTGGGGGTGAGGTGGGATGGGGTGGTTGGAGAAGATAATATGGTTTTATTTTCCTTTTTTTTATGTTAAAATTACGAAATTACCATTTTGCCATTTGTTGATTTGGTCAAAATAATTTTTTGGAGTCAATTAACAGTCAAACTAACGGTTTCCATCCATTCGAACTTGACTTGCGAATTGTTTGAAGGTTTGGCACCGTAGGTGGTATAAATCAAAAGTTTGGACAAAGTCTGCAAAAAGTTGAAAGGCTTGGTACCGTGGCTGCAATTTTCCCAATAAATTATTAAAAGGGTAATTAGTACATAATATTTTTATCTTTCACCGTTATTGCATCCACACCTTTCATTTTTTTAGCCTTTTCACCTTTAATTACACATTTGATTGTGCAAACCATTATTTCCATCCAATTTCATCCAATTTCCCGATAAAAAGTTGTGAAATGACGAATATACCCTCATATTTAAATAAAAAATATTTTTTTAATTTCTAATTCTTTAATAATTTATTTGAAACTCGTTTGCATTTTTTAATTTTTAAATAAATTTAATTGAAACTTATTGGTACTTTTTAAAAAATTTGGGGATTATGAGCGCGATTAAATCTTTAGATTTTTATTTAAATAGAATGATATATTCGTCATTTCGCAGTTTTTTATTGAGAAATTGGATGAAAATGGATAGAAATGATGGTTTGCTCAATCAAATGTGTAATTAAGGGTGAAAATGCCAAAAAAATGAAAGGTATGGACGTTTTTCGCAATAACAGTGAAATATATAGACATTATGTGCTAATTACAATTTTAATAATTTAGTTCTCACTTATTTGCGTTTTTTAATAAAAATTGGGACTATGATTGCAATTAATTTTTTTCTTTTTCTTTTTGTTTTATTTAAAGAGATGGTATATTAGTCATTCCATAATTTTTAATTGAGAAAATAGATGAAAATGACTTTTTGCGCAATCAAAGGTGAAAATAAGGGTGAAAATACCAAAAAATGAATGGTGGATACGTTTTCCACAATAACAATGAAAGGTGTGGACGTTTTCCACAATAATTACTCTTTAGGGTAGATAGTGTAATTTTCTCAAATAAATTCTGGACAAAGTTCAGTCCGTGTTTAATAATCATTCTTTCAAAATACATTATTTAAAAACTTATTTTTAATCATACGTTTTTCAATAAAATAATATTTTCATCGCATCAATAACTTTTCTTTACTTTTTAATCAAATATTTCCTACCATATCACCATTTAAAATATATTCTTTTCTCTGGAGCATACCCATTAAGAATAATGCTTTGTGTACAATGTTTAGTTGACAATGTATTTGACAATCAATGTTAATTCAAATTTGAATGGCGGGAAAGTGTGTGGTGTTTAAAAACTGGCCAATCAACCTTCAACATGTGGCATATTGTCAAACTTGTTGTCAAAAAAATTGTACTTGTAGCATGGTTGTACCCATTAAACACCCCCAATAACCATTTGCGTTCTTCACCATGGCCCTGTTTGTTTCTGATTCTCAAATCAATTCTCATTTTCAACCACACATTCTTCAATAAAATAATATTTTCCATCACATCAATACTTTTTGCTTCTTTTTCAACCACATCTTTCCCATCATATCACTATTCAAAATCAATTCTTCCCCCAAAAATCCCTACCACAGCTCCATATTTCGAGCCAAAAGGCCTGCCCCAAAACAGGTTTAGACTCGCCAATTTTGATCTACAACGATTCTAGTTCAAATCGCAGAAAACTGGAGAGGAGATAACGAAGAGGAGCCAGACTCCTTCCTTCCCAACACGACGAAACAAGAACCCTAACTCAAAACCGTCACCGCTGGGTTAATTTTCCCTCCATACACATACCCTCCAAAAATGTCTTCTCTATACAGAGCATCAAAAGCCCTCAAATTATGCAGGGCAACACCCATTTCTTTTTCTAAGAATAATTCCACCGGCAGATTAAGTTCAAAGTCCCATTTGGATTCTATATTGGGGTGGACTCAAAGTGAGTTTTTCGCCACGCATTCTAGCCACTATGCTAAGCCAAGCATAGACTTGTGTCAGTACTCCTCTGATAAAATCCGAAACTTTTCCATTATTGCCCATGTTGATCACGGCAAGTCGACACTGGCCGACCGGCTTTTGGAGCTCACTGGAACCATCAGAAAAGGCCACGGGCAACCCCAGTACCTCGACAAATTGCAGGTCAATGAATTCAAGTTTTGTTTATAAGGTTTTAATCTGGAATTGAATGTGATATGCTGATCAAGTGTTTTACATGAGCATAATGGATATTTTGGTTTTGGGATTGATTTTATATCAATTACACATTCAGAGATATACCAACATTAGAAGGGTATCTGGTCAAAACCAATGCCAAAAACTTTGATTATGCCATTCATAATCGAAATCATACATCCTTCCTGTTCTTATCCATATGTTAGTTAAGCCATGATGTAGAATGTTAGAGGAATGTGCAGGTGAATTTTGAGAAACTATTTAAGGATTTGATGACAATGTAGAAATAAAGTAGTAGCATTTTGTTCTTCACTACTGGAAAAAAAGTGAAATTTGGTACATCTTTGGAGGGATAAACCAGATACAGTTTGATGGTTTTTTTTTACTGTGCTAATTATATTGTTAATTATTATTATTATCCACAAGTCAGCTATTGATTTATTTATGGTGAAATGTTAGTTTTAAAAACAAATATAACATACTAGACCCCCATCGATGTAATTTGGAGATATTTATGGTTGCGAAGTACTGGAAATCTATGTGTGGGGGCTTGTATTTAACACATAATTTCACACAACTACTCCTTGTTTATCGAGATCACATGTATTATCTTAGGTAGAGCGAGAGCGAGGAATAACTGTCAAGGCTCAGACAGCAACTATGTTTCATAAGCACAACTTCCTTGGCACTGACACAGAATTTTTAATGAACCTGATTGACACTCCTGGGCATGTGGATTTCAGCTATGAAGTGTCAAGGTCTTTGGCAGCTTGCCAGGGTGCCCTTCTTGTTGTTGATGCAGCTCAAGGCGTCCAGGCACAAACCGTTGCTAACTTTTATCTTGCTTTTGAGTCAAACCTCACAATAATTCCTGTTATAAACAAAATTGATCAGCCAACAGCTGATCCAGATCGTATTAAAGCGCAGCTGAAGTCTATGTTTGATCTTGATCCAAGTGAAGCTCTATTAACATCTGCCAAAACAGGTCAAGGTCTGGAGCAGGTCCTTCCCGCTGTAATAGAGCGAATACCTCCTCCTCCTGGGAAGAGTAATTCACCATTACGTATGCTTTTGTTAGATTCGTATTATGATGAATACAAAGGAGTTATCTGCCATGTAGCAGTTGTTGACGGTGCTCTGCAAAAGGGTGAAAAGATTTCATCTGCTGCAACTGGCCAGTCCTACGAAGTTTTGGACGTTGGTATCATGCACCCTGAACTCATCCCTACTGGGGTGCTTCTAACAGGGCAAGTGGGATATATTGTCAGTGGCATGCGTTCAACTAAAGAGGCCCGTGTTGGTGATACTCTTTTCCATACTCGAAGCACTGTAGAGCCCCTTCCAGGTAATCTTCCTCCAATGCTTATGATGTTGATTTTTTAATATTCAGGATCCTGGTTTGCTTAACTTTTGATGCCCAATACTCATATACTACCATACCATTGCCCTGGACATGTAGCAAACTTATAATGACCGATGTCTAATGTTTGGAACGTTAAATTGTGGATTGCTTCCCCAATGGAGAATCACAGAGAGAACTTTATCTGGAAAAAGAAGCAGAAGTATTTATTTAAAGAATGTATTTGTATGGTAGAGGTATCTATATCAGTTCAAAAATTTGTATTTCACTGCTGCAAGGTTTTCTTCTCTGAACTGATTATTTTGAACAGTACATTCTAGCCTTTGGCCGTGCCCACAGGTTCATTTAGAATTATTCTAAATTAATAACAGAGAAATGCTAGTCAGATATTGCTGCAGTTTTGTAACAGACAAGACATGCCCTCTCAACTTTTATCTGCATAGTAGGAAAGGAAGAACTCTATATATTATTTAAATTTCACAAAACTATCTATTTACTGACCTGGAGGCCCAAGCATATCAGTTGTATACTTTTTATGCAGTTTCCGATTTGAATGAATAATATTTAATGATTTCTAATATTTAAGATCTAACAAATCCTCTCATCTGCCTAGCGTTTTCTTTAATTTGTTTCACTTCTTGATTTGAAAAGGTTTCAAGCCAGCAAAACATATGGTATTCTCTGGTCTATATCCAGCTGATGGATCTGATTTTGAAGCGCTTAATCACGCCATTGAGAGACTCACTTGCAATGATGCAAGTGTCTCTGTTACCAAAGAGAGTAGTTCAGCACTTGGCTTAGGATTCAGGTGTGGATGTCCAGGTCTCCTTTAAAGTTTAATATATCATCTCTCTCCCCTTTCAGTTCTGGTATGGTATTTTTAATTCTGACTATTTCTAGTTCCCAACAGGTGTGGTTTCTTAGGCTTACTCCACATGGATGTTTTTCATCAGCGGCTTGAGCAGGCATTATTCTCTCACTAATTGTAAATACTTTTTGCATTATTTGAAGTGGTGAAATATGCCAATTTACTTGCAAGTTTTCATGTGGAAGTTGTTATGGAATATTGATTTTTGGGAAAAGTGACATGAATACGCTATTCACGTCATGTCTTTTAAGATCTTATAAATATTGTGATATTTCACATTCCCTGCAATACTACTGCTGCCCACGCCCGTATTATTAAAGAGAAATGTAATTAGTAATTAGTAAATATCCTTAGTTTGTTGGCTTGTTTAAATTGTTGACTTTTACTTTATGATTTGTAAGAGTAAGAGGAATAATTAATTTTTTAATTGGTGTCAAAGCCTATGTTTTTGGAAACATTTTTAGGAACTTATAATTTACCTCTACTATCCAAATCAAAGTCTATCATTAATTACAACCACATATTCAAAACTACTAATTATTAGCACTTATTTCATGGTCCGCACCGCTACTCATAAAAAAGTTATTAATAATCTTTCCTGAACAGAGGCAAAACCTGTGACGTGAAACTAGACTGTTATCCCCTTCCTTTTTTATAAAATTAATGAGTCATTTGGTGGAACTTGTTATATCTTCCAGCAAATTTGGCCCTAGGAAGGCCTTAGGAGTTAGGATCTTAATTAACCACCTTCCAGTATCCTTAATAAAGACATGGGGCATATGTGTTCACACTCTTTAACCCACCTAAACTCTCCTACCAGCAAGAGTTTTATCTTGTTGCACTAGCAAATTATGTTCAAAATGTTATAGGCTCCTGGAATATTTAGTCTATCCCATAATTTGGTACGTTTGACTGAATTGCAATAAAGTCAAAACAGAAATACTATACATTTAGTACTGGAAAAAAATATGATATGATCAAAAAGTTGTAAGCATCTGTCACCTCATTGTCGTGCATTGTCCTTTTTGAGTAACAGGAACACGGAGCTCATGTGATTTCCACTGTTCCTACTGTGCCATATATTTTTGAGTATGCAGATGGGAGGTATGTGGACCATTATGCCTGAACTTAGATATTTCTTTCTATATGTTTTATCAAATGATAGTTTCATCTGCGTGTAATAGCAAAAAGCATATTCACAATCCTGCTACATTGCCATCAAATCCTAAACAGCGTGTGACAGCTTGTTGGGAGCCTACAGTAATGGCAACAATTATAATTCCTAGTGAGTAAGCTCTCAAGCTCTATGTGGTGCTGAAAATTTTCTGTATCGTTAATACATTGGGTTGCCCTTAAGGTTCTAGCCAATGAACTCTGAAGCATTAACTTTGATTAGTTCCATCACTTTTACTTGAAGGTATGTGGGCTCTGTTATAACTCTTTGTTCCGAACGACGAGGGGAGCAGTTGGAACACTCGTTTATTGACAGGTGATTATTCCTAGGATGATGAATGTAATCTCGTGTATCCTATTTTTATGGCTTGGTTCTTGAAATGGACATTCAACTATATGGGCAAAACATCAACTGTTGGTGCTCATATATCCAAGTTCTCTATCACCCTATGTTTAGAGCATTCTTAAATGTCCTTCCCTCTGATGCAGCTGCAATTTTCCTTTTAAAGCCTTTTCTTGAATTTTAACCCAAATCAAATAATGATATGTTCAAAGGGTTGGTTTTTCAGCCAACCAGAAAAGGAGCCGTAGAGGATTCTGGGTTTAACAGGTGTTGACATAACATGAACCTGTTTTAAATTTAAACTTCAGATGGAAATAGAGTTTCAGTTACCAGTTTTAGGATAAAGCTGGTTAAAACTTCGAAGCCAAGTAAACTCAAATATCATTAGTCTTTTAAATCTGTGCTGTTTGCTCCAAGAAAAGTTGTGTTTCTATTACTCCCAGAGAAAACAATCTTGAGTAGATTTTATGTCCATCGACAGTGTCTGCTAATTCATTTTCTGTCCGAAAAACAAAATTGCTCAAAGTATTCAATAAAAGTTCTCAGTTGCGTATTGAAAAAATAGGAAAGTAGACTGCTGAAAGTTGGAATCAGTTTGTTCGTAATGTAACTTATAATGTGTGTTTCACTTGAAAACTGGTATAGAAGTTGATTTTAGATAAATGTCAGTTTCCATTTTTGGTCATTCTTAATCACCTATAATTGTTTTGCTCCCATCTGAGGTTCACCGAATGTAAGGATAATATGCTGTGTGTTTCTTGTGTGCAGTCAAAGGGCTTTCATGAAGTATCGATTACCTCTGAGGGAAATCGTTGTTGACTTTTACAATGAATTAAAGAGTATAACTTCAGGATATGCATCATTTGATTACGAGGATGCAGAGTAAGTGTTGATTCTCTTGTTGTCCCTCTTTGCTTCATCCACTCATACATATTAGCACTGGTGGGCAGAGTTTTTCTTGAATTGGAATGGATAAATGACTGGTGTGATTCCAAATAATGGGTTTCCGTAACAGCTATCAGGCCTCCGACTTGGTGAAACTCGATATCCTCTTAAATGGACAACCGGTGGATGCAATGGCAACTATTGTTCATAGACTGAAGGCACAACGTGTTGGCCGTGAACTTGTGGAGAAGCTGAAGAAATTCATAGACAGGTCTATTAATTCAATATCATTTAATTAATTTCAATTTCGATTTTTGTTGTAGACAGTATCTTAACACAATATTGAATAGGCAAATGTTTGAGATAACCATACAAGCTGCTATTGGATCAAAGGTTATTGCCAGGGAAACGTAAGTTGTATAACTTGTCTACAGCAATTATAGTCTTCAATCATAGTCAACTTAGGTTTCTGCATTCTTATTAATTTCACGAATGTTTGTTCTTTTCATTTTTCAGCAGTGATCTACAACTTTTGCCGTGTTATGTCACTCCAAGTTAAAATAACACATTATCAAATGTTCAAATCTTTTTTATAAGTGATTTTAGCATGAAACATAGAATCTAAAATTCTGAGAGACTCCGTCTCAGTAGTTTTTTTCTTTTTTTCATTTTTTTTGGACTTTGTCCAACATGTTTTTTATATCTTTTCCCCCTCAATTTTGGCTTCTGCCCTTTGGGTTGTGTAGGGTTTGGCGTACTAAGAGATTAACTTTTTCAATCGGTTTCTTTTGTTTGCTTTATTTATTTATATTTTCAGATACCTTCATATATGCCAGCTTCCATGGATGTGAACACATACTTCTTCAATTTGTTTCAGTTTATTTTTCTTGTTTTCAGGGTTTCTGCTATGAGGAAAAATGTGCTTGCAAAATGTTACGGTGGTGATGTATCTAGGAAGAGGAAGTTGTTGGAAAAGCAGAAAGAAGGAAAGAAGCGCATGAAACGAATTGGCTCTGTTGATATACCCCAAGAGGCTTTTCATGAGCTGCTAAAGGTTTCGTGAAGAGAAGAGGATGTTATAGGGCCTGAAGTACAGGTATCCAATTGCTTGTTATTAACTCAAAAATGATTCCTCTCAATAGGTATTGAGTGCTAATAGAAGGCATCCCAGTTTTTGATTTGCCAGGAAAAGTCGATTTAATATAAATGAAAAATAATATATACACTTTTTTATCCTGAACTATTACTGTAATTTCCTTGGCGAGTAATTTATATGTTTGCTGACACCGGGAAATGATTGAACAGTGGGTATAATGTCTGTGTATGATTTTCTATAAATGACACTCAAAAGATTTATTTATATGAGATGAAGCACGGTAATTTTCTTTTTGAGTGATCATCATATATTATGATCTTGTTTGGCAACAAAATGACATGGTTGATACTGATTTCCAAAGGCAGGAACTGTTATAGAATTGATGTTAAATGATAATTTCTGAAATTGCTATCGTTTTTGTTGTAAACTTTGTATCTTTGTTTTTCGGCCCTGTTTGAACCAAATTATTGTAGAATAAGAATGAAAAATATAGCCGTTATTGGAGCCCACATAAGAGATACAAAATTTGAATTTAAATGTTGATGTGATGGATAACGGTCATATTTTTCATTTTAATGAGATAATAATGTAGATCAAACGGGGGCTTCATGACTTTTGCCAGCATTCTCTTTCCATGTGTATAAATGACTGCGTGAATGTTTCTTATTCATATCAAAGTTGTGGTGGAAATTACAAGAAAGACTTTTTTGTACACTGTCCTTTAGAAAGAGAACCAAAAGGGTAAATAAAAAATTTCATGATCATGCCAGGATGAAGGTCCTAAAGACCCATCAATCAGTTTGATCTTGATTTTCCACTGCAGAGAGGAACTCTGCAGAATGGAAAAGGCCAATGGAGATTGTTGCACCTGCAGGCTTCCAGTTTTCCAATTCAAAGATGTTGACTTGCCCAAATAGCTGGATGCACATCCTTTATCATCTGAAGTAAGTGGATTTGACATTGTGGCCTGTATATGCCCACACTACTTCTGGCCTATATTTTTGCCTTTATCTTTATTCACTTGTGCTGTACTGCCATTAGCCACCAATGATGAAATAGCGGTAGTTATTACTGATTGTAAACTCGGATCTGACTTAATTACCGTAGTTAAGGTTTGTGTTAGAGCCTCTTGTTGGTTTAACTTTTCTGGGTATGATTGAGATGATTGTTCTTGTGACGGTCTTCTAAAGTATGCGGAGCTAACATGGTTACTATTATATATACCATAATTAAGGCTTCCATTGCCCCAAACTGTCGGTAGCATGTAGGATTCTGAAGAAGAAAAACTCAAACTTGTTGAAGGAGCTCTTGGAATTGATTTGAAACTCGATGAGAACATGCTGAAACCACTTGATGCGGTGGTGGGTGGATTAGTGGTGAGGTCTAAAGTGATTGTAGGAAATGGAGTTGAAGAGGAGTTGGGCAAATAGAATGCCCGTGCTAGGGAAATATCAGAGAGATTGGGATTTGGCCCTCTAAGACTGGAAGTTGGGTCAATGTTGGCTGGTGATGATACAAGCCCCGGTTGAGAATTTGATGATCCAGAGAGAAGCATTGAAGCTGCTGCCGAGGTGGTGGAAGCCATGGCAGTGGCAGAAATTGGTAGTGGGTGGTTATGAGTTCCTTCATATGTTGTGATCAAGATTGATGTGTCTTCTGAACATCGTTGCACCTGAAAACAGAAAACAAGTCTGATTGAATAATAAAGCCAAATCAAAAGTCAAGAATAAAGATTAAATTTAAAGAAAAACATCTAAACATTATAATGCTTCTTTATCTATATTCTCATTTCCTTCATATTCTTTTAGAATTAAAAAGAAAAAAGACTAAACGTTTCACAGTTATGTTTCCCTTCTACTCCATGAAATCTTGGATCCAATCAAAACCTAAGAACTTCCACATATTCCTAAATCAAAAATAATAATTTATTTGTCCAATCATGCGATCCATAGAAATAAGAAAATAAGTGGAAAAATAGCATTAAATCCTATGCAAGTCATACGATAATTTGACATGTTGAATGTGGAATATTACTTGTTTTCTGACTGGGCATGATGGGGAAACTGTACACCGATAGTATGCCCGTGGACATGGATTGCCCTTTGAAATTTTCTGTCCATATTTTCGCCATTGGCACCCATCATTCATCTGCAGGAGAACTCTATAATATTATTCATCTGATGCATATAATTATTAGAAAAAGAAACAGCACATAAATAGAAATGGGAAAATCAATGACGACGCCGTTTTACTCACTGTTGTGGTCTCACATTTCGCTCTTACAGAAACTCTAGCTCTCTTTAAATTGGTTTGAGAAAGTTCATCTTCTTCACTTCTCAGTGTCTTAAACTCCATGGATCCTGTTTCTGACCCCGTTAAATTGTAGTCTGATCCAACTTTAAGTTCCTCATTTTCTTCTCTGCTGCTAGTATTTCTCTCTTCCTTTTTAGACTGATCTCTTGAACTCATTCCGAGTCGAAGAGATACGAGTTCAGTGTCTTCTTCAATGGTGGGATCAGTTGGATTGTTGTCTTGCTTGGTTTCTCGAAGAATATCAAAGAATCGCAGTTGTAGAGTTCTGTGATCCTTCTCTATTTGTTGTAGCTGCATCTTTAGTCTTGCATTTTCCTCTCTCACTCCTGTCATTTTGGCTTTGGTTGATTCAACTTCATCTTCCTGTCAACCCTCAGTAAATATTCAGAACAAATTAAAGAGATTGTGCCAGTAAAACACCTCCACACCCACAAAAAAAGAAGCTTTCATTTCTCTCAATAAATTTGGAGTCCATGTCAGTCATGAATATTTTTTATTCATATTTAGTCATTTCATTTGATAGAGCATTATATTATTTTGCTCTTACATGGTTGTGTCCACATGGACAAACAGATATATTTTCTTTACTTGATCTACAAGAAGATCTAAGACAACCCGATTCTTAGCAACTATTGCATGTCAATTGTCATGCTATTTCCAGTTTACTCTTTCCTCTTCTGACATGTTCTATGAAGTTCACATCAGTTTATAGATAAAACATCTTCCAATCGCCTGAGTAGACATTTTCTTTGGTGTCACCTCACTTGTTGCCTTACTTCTCATATTCTTTCATCTCATCTATTTTAGTATGACCATGTATCCTCTTAATATCTTCATTTCCTTTATGCTCATCTTATGGGAATTGTATTTTATTACGATGACACTTGGGACATTAAAACAAAGTAGGTACATATAATTATTCTTCTCTTAGAACCAACCTGGAAAAATACTTCTTAATTTTATCCAAAAATTGTTCTAATCCATACCTGTAATTGTGAAATTTGAGAGAAAATATTACTATTCTTACCTTCATAGCTTCTTTTCTGCAATATTTCTCTTCAGGGGAAGCTGATTCATTATAGCTGTTTTCTTCATTAACTGAACTTCCTGTGGAACTTTTTCTGGTACCCTCCATTGCTTGTAATTTCTTTCTAGCCTTTGAAAAACTTGTTTATTACAAGAGCATCTCATTCCTCTTTTGTTATATATACAAGAATCCTTTGTTTCATTTTGAGTTTTTTTTAATTGAAAATGATATAAATAAACCTCGTATTTCGCTATTATGGACTTAAAAATTTCAACTGCTTAGTTTTTATGTGAGCACATGGATTTGAATATTAGGAAGAAAAATTAGGGATGATGCTCCAAGTACACCCTGAAGTGTACAAGTATCATTTCCCAAAAATTAGTTTAAATGAGAGAAAGTGGACTTCAACATTTGCTGACAGATAGGTTAGAGACTTTATTGTATAGGATTAAAAAAGGTATATTATCATGTTAAGACATTCAAACAGTTGGGTTAAAGTTAATTATTTTCAAGTTTTCATTGAATTGCATTGATTAAAAGTTCAAAATATTAAGACGGGACTAGTTTATTTATTTATTATTTATATTTAGTTATCTTTTCATCGAACTCACACACATGAAATTCTGATATGTTCGGATTGATGAGACTTGAACACGATGAAATTCTGTTAAATTCCTCAACACATCCCTTCATATTCATGCCAATGTATGTTCATTAATGAGTACGTGAAATTTTCATAGGCAAATTTATTTATTTAATCTCATCTCTAAATATGTTTATAGATCAAATTGTTTACTCAATCAGTTTGGCAAACAACTACAAAAATTAATGATATCAAAGTGCATAACCAACTTGTTTGTCTGTGACTAAGAGTTTAAATTATTTTAATAAGAATGGTCAATGAAGGATGATATGATTCACATTTTTTTCAATGTAAAAAAATCTTTACTTCTCTTTTCACAAAATTTGTTTTATTTTATTTTGATGGTATCCATTAACCTTGATGTCACAACTTCCATTACATTAGATTTTACAAAATGTGACTCTCTCTCGTTTGATTATATTATTCGTTTTTCCTTTGATAACATATTGATCTAAGAGTCGGTTTGACAAGACTTTTAAAAATCAAAAGTTAATGAGATTAAGAAGTTATTTTTGAACATGTTTAGATAGTTTTTTGGAAATGCTTTATTTGCTAAAAGAACTTCCGAAGGAAGCTGACATAATTCATAACATATAATATTCATGTGATTAATGGTTAGTATAATGAAATTATGCTAAACTATTACTACATGGAGATTTTGAGGCCAAGTGGCACTATATTTTGTTGTGTTTATGTCAATTATCTTAGGTGGGGCATACTTGAATAGTTGGCAGACGAAAAATTATTTTGGTGAAAATAAAATTACAAAAAGAAGTTAAGACTTATTAGAGCATTGACTTGACAAGAATTTAGTTTATAAATTGCCACCCAACACATCTACGATTTTTTATAAGCTGGTGTACATTTTATTTATTAAACATCAATATCAGTTAATTAATTAATTAATTCCTACAGTTTTTTTTTAAAATTGTTTTTATATTTTAAGCCATCATTGTGGAAATATGAAGTTAAGTATGCCTTTGATTATCTATTTATTTTTTGTCTATAAATAAACATTTCATATTGAAATGGAGACAGTTAGACTTGGACCTTTTGTCCAGGGGTCAGCTGTACATACCAGAGAATAAACGATGCTATTTTTTTTTCATGTTTGAACACAAGATTTCTTGGAGGCAGATTAAAATATTTCATTTCTTGGAGGCCATGTTCTCTGTCCCCAAGTCGATTCCTCGACTAGTCGGATGGAATGTGACCTGGTATTATAGTCGAGTCCATAGTCGACCTGAGTTTAATAACGTTAGAATTTATATTCTACTTCTCAGTGGCAAGCACTTGCTCAAAACTTAGCTTCTGCTTGAGTTCCATTTTTTCCAACACTCATTTTCTATCATATTCTCTCGTAAAATTATTGCACGATTAAATCTAAAATTATTCCTTATTTTTGAACCATATATTCTTCGAAGAATCACTATTCCAAAACACAATTCCCTAAGAAAATGGGGGTCAAACAGGGATAAGTATTTTCCACTCAAATATTTTATTGCACATCAGAAGAATATGACATGAATTAATTAATGTCTGTGAAAGATTTCTCCTTCAAACTAACATTGCAATCACACAACTTATTATAAACTTGAGGTAGCGCACAAGGGACTGAAATGCAACAAAATTTACAGAAAAATGCCGAGGGCATGCAGACTTCTCGTAAAATAGCTTTAAACTTTTAAGCGATTAAAATATAAAAACGACACTATCGTGCACTCGGGACTTTTGGTTCTGTGCAACACATTCAGATATCCACATCAAGTTCCTGATTTCCTGCTCCTTCAACCTCATGTATGCAAAAAACACCCCATAATGGAACTGCATTGCCAAATAAATAAGGATAATGAGATTTCTGTAAAGCAGACAAATCTAAAGCCGTTTCTTGTACATGCAAACAGTATTTAGGCTCATTCCTCCTAGAAGCACAGTGATAAATTTTAACAGGAAGTTCTGAGAAACAAACCTGCTGCTCAAATGCTAAGCAAAGCCGTTTCACCTCCTCTTCATAAAATGCCTTGTCAAGTATCTGACTCTCGCCGTAGGATAACTTGGAAAATATGGACTGATAAGGAGGATATTTTTCCATGGCAGAACGAACCTGGAAGTGTTGAAAAATAGTAATAAGAGCAGGTAGGCACTGTAAATAAGAGCAGGCACTAATGACATAGGTCTTTGAGCATCCATCGGGAAATTTCAAGAAATTTTAAATCAATAATCAGTTAGGATGTGTGTGATTGCAAGCATGGAACTTGCATGGAAAGTAATTGCTTATAACTTATTTGCATGGAAATCGTCAACTTCCAGAGGATGGAATGATTGTAGGATCAAGAAGGCCATATTTTTAATATAAAGAAAGAAAGAGGCAGCAGCAGCAAGAGCTATATCCGTCAAAGAAGAAGAGTCAACTAAATGTGTTTGATTGGCTTAATTTTCAGCATAGAAAACGTTATACTTTTTCATAAAGTTGAATTTTTGGGAAGTGTGAGTTACCTAGAACATAAAAACCTACCCCCTTCCTTGTTTTTGAGGAAAACATGACAAACTTTTGAAAAATATTTTCCATGAAAAAAATGTCAATCAAAGAACTTGGGTTAGAAAAAGGACATTTTACATGGAAAATAAAGCCAATCAAACACACCCTTAATGAAATTTTAAAAATCTGATTGGTGACCTTATTTACGCTGTTCATTTGAATAATCTGTATATTTAGTGGGAGATGAATGTGAGGAGTTAGCTTCACTATCAAAAACAAGACAAGGCATCTTGATGTATTGGATCGTAAGATGGTGACAAAACACAGTCAGATCTCATCATGGACATTAACATGACTAAAACCATTAAATACCTGATCTATATCCTCGCAAACAGCAAGCTCCTCATGACCGTAAGGATATCTATTCCATAATTTCATCATCGTTAGTTAGGAAAAAAGGAGCTCCATGATACCATGTAGTTTCATACTTGAAAATAGTAAAATTCAGTGCAAAAGTCCTTACAGTAATCCGAAATTAGAGAACAATTTCCGACGATCATCTCGAGTAAGCTCAGTGCCAATGCTGAATATTACATTTACAAGTATATGACCGGGTCAGAAATGAACGTATTAACTAATATAGTATAATTCGGAAAAACAATTTCACGCTACAGAACCTGTTTATGGTGATATTAACTGCCCTTCTGTCGGCCTCAAAAGCCAGGATGTCAGACATAATCTCTGCAGTTGCGCCACCAAGTTTCTATTTGATAGCTTTCACATTAGAGTCGAGTCCAAAACTGGGGAATTCACACTCAGACGGAAGAAAAGGAACTTTTAACATTCCAAAATAAACCCTTTACCTGACAAAATCTGTAGAAATCCTCAAGGTATGCTTTGTAGAGAGTATTCCTCATAATTTCAATATTCATGTCATCCAAGTCCTGCAAGAATGTCCTTAATGAGTGAAAAGCAGACAGACAAAAAACCCTTTAGATAACAAAGATATTTCCCATATACTTCGCTTCAGATAACAAACACCTGACATATGTACAGCTGCATAGGATATATTCTTAAATATGGGGGTGTTTGACACCCATTTTAGTAGAAAAATGTGTTTTTGAATAGTGATTGATGGAAAAATGTGTGGTTAAAAAGTAAGGAGAATTTTTAGGTTTATGTGTAATATTATTTTATTAATAGAATGTGTGGTTGAAATGAAGAATGAGAAAAAGAATGAGAAAGAGAAAGAGAAAGAGAAAGAGAAAAAAATGGGTGCCAAACTGAGGCTATATAAACCATTAACAGTTGAGCTTCATGGTGAGAAGACCATAAGTTGTATAAATATGATGATACAAATGTGACATGGAGCAGGCAAAACTCAGTAGCTGCACGGACAAAACAATTTTCAATTACTGCACAGAAAAGTTATGTGCTGCAACCAGTACCTCTGAAGTGAGGCATTCAGAGAAGTATGGAGCCAGAGGTGTATCAACTAGCACCAGTCTGTAAAGCTCCCTCATATTTTGGGCGACTGCGAGAGTAGCGATGCTGTGGAAATGAATGACAAAATTTCAGTTTATACCGCTTACATTTTGCGCAAAATGTTGGATTCCAAATTTCAGATGAGAACTACCTGTCGAACATTCCCAGAGGATGGCATTTCTCCAACAATTCCTGAACATCTCTCTCATGCAAAGTTCCCGTGACAATTAGCACAACATTGTCGATCATGTGACCGTATCTAAAAATTAAACAGCATAACTAGGTAATATGACTATCACAGTATACCAGAAAGTAACTAGTGCCATTGTGCTTCGCAGTAAGATTCAATTCTACCCACATCACAAATCAAAGGATGATAAAAAAATTTGATAGATACAGTTCCCTGGTCCTATCTCAAGCTTAACATGCTACCACAATTTGAACAGAGTAGTTAAATACTCTGCACTTACTATAAGCATCACGTGTCGACTAAACTAAATGATATTGTAAATTTCTTGGTGCCAACTTAGTCAAGATTGGCACATTATTTCAATTCTATCTCCTTCTCCTTCTCCTTCTTTTTTTTAAATGTTGATAAGCACTGTTTAATTGGTTTAGCAACTCCAGTAAATCAAGCTAAAGCCCACATATTTCCTATTTCCACCTCTTTGCCTTCGTTACTATCTGGATGGGTTCTAGAAATTAAAAACTAAACATTTCTCTAGCAACTCTTCGTTTCGCAGCAGAAAAAACTCTTATCATCCCAACATATATCAATCTGACATATAAAACCATGTATTGAGTGTATTCACCATGATTTCGAAGTGCATCAATGGCAAACTCTTTGTTTCGCAGCAGAAAAAAACTCTTATCACTCCAGCATATAACAAATTCCTTTGTATTTTAATAAAAACAATGCACTGTGTATATCACCATCATTTCGAAGTGCATCAATGGCATATTAAATTTATCTATAAATGCAAGTTCGTAGATGCATATAGGTGCATATGAACAGAGAGAGGAGAGAACGCTCATACGTGATATACTCTAAAAAGGTTGACAAAGGCTCTGTGGCTTGGGTTAACATGTGCTTATACTCATCAACCAATTTAAGAGTACATTTCTCCACAATTGTCGTCGTGTGCAATGGCGAAGGCTCTGCAATTAACAAGACAACCAGAAATAAAATCAGTAATCTCAGCCAAAAAGGCCCACCAAACAACTGAAACTAGCAATGCTTCTAAACTCATGGAACCAAATAAGTCCTCTTCATAAATCAACTTGATAGTTTAAAGAATAGAGAATTGAACTGCAACTTAATCGGCTTAGTTAGTGATTAGCTAAATTATAGAGAAATATGCTGATCTAGTTATCTGAAAATGAGATGAATTTGACTATATGGATCCAAATTCGTGTTGATTAACCAAATAACAAAATCACGTCGGATCGAACTCCAAAATGCAGTCTTCGATCATTTTTTTTCAAACGCATAAATCCCCCAACGGCTTCAGAACACAATTCAAATCCAAAAAGCTCGGAACTAAAAATTAGAATAGACTAACCATTTTGGAGGTAGGGGCCATACTCAGTGGCGGAGAGGTGCATCTTGATGTCCTCGAGGGTTTCACATTGGCAAAGGTTGTTGTAGTCGGAGGCAGTGAGGAGTCCCGATCGATGGCCTCGCACAATCGCCTCCAGGTACCCTCCGTGAATGTTGAAGGTCAGCGCTTCGAATCCGTACATTTTTCTACAGATTTGAAGCGAATCGAATAGTTTGTAAAAATGAAATTTATGAACCCCTGCAAAGAAACCCTAGCGCGATGCTTCTCGATTCTCCGATTTACCAACGGAGGGGAGTTCTGCGGTGTTGGTGTGGAGAGAGATGAGATCAATCAGCATCCAGAGTATTGCACCGCCGTCTAACAACTTTGAGATAACTAACACTTCATCTAATTTTTAAGATTAAAAAAAATAAAAATTACAAACTGTTTATAAAAATTAAACACTTTATTTATTTACTAGTCTGACGCACG